TGCATAAACATAAATAATAAATAAATATGAAACTTTAGCTTGATTAACAAATTTTTAAAAATTTTACAGCACAAAAACAAAAAAAAAATCGATTGAAAAGTTTTCTAAATATCTCGAGAATGGGGCAAGGAAAAAATTTGAAAAAAAGCACACATCAAAATTCTCTATGAAAAGAAATATTTTTAAATTTTTTTTCTAGAAAAATTTTTCACATCAAATTTTTTGATAAAAAAAATAGTTTTTGAAAATATGCCATCCCAACAAAATTTGAACAAAATTACAATGGTATTATGGCGCACTCCTACAACGACTTGAGTTACGAATTTTCCTTTACACCAAAGTTGAGTAAAATAAGTACTTACAAATTTACAATTTTTTCTAAATTTTCATTATAATTTTTTTGAGTATGCAGTTATGTAGCCCATTTAAATTTCTACTATTGTGATTTTTTTTTTTTTTGAGATGGTATATTTTCAAAAACTATTTTTTTATCAAAAAATTTGTACGTGAAAACTTTTTCAAGAAAAAAAATTTTAAATACTTGTTTTTTATAGAGAATTTTTGTGTGTGTATGTGTAATTTTTTCCAAATTTTTTCCCCGCCTCGTTCTCGAGATATTTGGAAAACTAATGATCGATTTTTTTTTGTTTTTGAGCTGTAAAGTTTTTAAAAATGTATTAATCAAGCTAAAGTTTCATATTTATTTATTATTTATGTTTATGCATCTACCCTAAAAATTTTAAACAAATCAAACACATGAAGTGTGCACCCCACCCCGTCCATTTTGGTATGGAACGCCATATATACAGGTCGTATGAGTAACATTGTTAAGATTTTTAATTTCACAATTGTAAGGCTTCGTTTCTCCAAACTCATTTAGATGGAAATTAACTTTAATTTAATTTTTTATTTAATTCTCATTTCAAGTATTTTCAGTTTCAATAAGCTCTTTATTTAAGAGAGTAAAAAGTGGTTGTAAAACAGACTTGGCCAGCGAAAGCTTTCATTTGTTTTTGAAAGCCTTGGCCCGCTGTGTTGTAAAAGCAGGGCTGGTGTACAAGTAAGCAGCAGATATACAAAACTGTGGTTTGTGTATATTGATCAGCTGATTAAAAATTCGAAAATTAAAGTAATTTTGACTTAAATTAATATGGTAAAACGCTGCCTAAAACACTTACATACATATATGCTATATTATATATTGGGAGTTAAAGAAAACTGCTTGAATATTGTTATTATTTTTTAATTAATTTTAAATACTTATAAGGAAATGAGGATGTGTGTAACGTCCATTAACTTAAAAATGTAAACGTTTTCAAAAACGGTAATTTTATTTATTATTCTGTAGATACTTGTTTTTTAAGCTTGCAACCCTAATATTCATAGCTTTAAGTAAATTTTCTTATTGAAAATTGGCATTAAGCGCACACCATCTTTTACTATAATTATTTGGAAATTTTTATAGAAAAACCTTTGTTACAAAATTTGTTTTTGAAATATTTTTAAACTAATTTATTTAAGAAAATTCGAAATTTTAGCAAAATACTCTTCAAATTTCTCTCAAAGGATTCCAAATTTAAGCTTTTCTTCAAGGCATTTGAACCCAAATAAATATAGCATAAGCATAGATGGCTCAAAGTTTGTTGAAAGTTTTAATAAATACCAATTTATTAATTTAAATTAAGACTTAGCTTTTTTGCTAAGTTTATGACTTCTACTGGTGGTAATTTTCGAAGCCGTGTTTCTTTTCAGCTCATTTAAGATTTGGATGTGGCGTAGATGTCCCATTCCGCAATCATCGCAAGAGTGCTGCATAAAAGCCTGAAGAAGCCATTATTTCTCAGTTGAAATTTTTTTGGAAGACACAATCATAGTTTGATCACTTCATACAGTTGGTATACCAAAAGGAAGATGGAAAGACATATATCTTCGCCATTTTTGGGAAGTTAAATCATGTGTTACGCTGAACTTATTCTCCTTATCAAGCTTATTAATTGTGTGATGCAATCTCCAAAAAAATAAACTTTGAATTACTTCTTTCTATTATTAAACGTGCGATATAATTTACAAATAAAAAGCGTCTAAATTTGCTTTTTTAAGCGAAAAAATTAGAAAACCCTTTTGACCAGGGCTGCATTTGATGAATTAATATATAGAATAACGTTTGGAATTTTCAAGGATACGAAAAGTTTAAAATAAATAATGCTTGTACTTTATAAAAAAGTACAAATTTCAGAATAACAAATAAATAAATGTTGGTAAACTTTCGTCTTTAATTATCTTAATTTTTTTAATTTTTTAAGGTCAAAAATAAAACGCAGATTGCTCAATATTTTGATTAAATAATAACTGATATTTGAAAACTCTCAAAAAATCCCGAAAATTCGAGAGAACTGTCCGCTTAAAACCCAAAAAATTTCGAAAATTATCGAAAAACCTCGAAAAAACGCCCAAGAAATATGGAAAAATCCCGATCAAAATTCTCAAAGCGCGAATAGTTTTCAAAAAAATTCAGAAAAAAATTATTTAGAAAACTTCCGAAATTATCTCGTTAGCTGCAAAAATATTCCATAGAGTCCGATAAGCTCGAAAAGCCCTAAAAAATACAAAAACTTAACCTTAAAAAAAAAATATGAAAAAGTGCGAAAAGTTTTCGAAAAATGTCTCAA